CTCTTGAAATGGTCGAACATTAACTGTTTCCTTTTGGTACAATGACTGTGTATTCCTTCCATCTTTTCTTGATGCATTCTGCATCATTCAACAATTTGCCCAGTAATAATACAAACCTACTTACATTACTTTCCCAATCAAGGATGCGCTTCTGCCTTGCCATACGCAGTCCTCCACGTTGGCATGTCTCTCTGCCCATTACACGCTAACAATATTGGTGTAGTTCTCAGTACCCACCACAAGATCTAACCCTCTGTGCCTTTAATTCTTCCCTCTGGCGAGCCCTGCACCCCCATCTAATTGAAAACTCCTGTTCTTCATCTCTGCCTACTGAAGAATTGCTGCTTATCACCTCTCTTCTTACGCAACAATGTCAACCACTCCCTCCTCAGAAAGATTTTCTTGTCAACTTTAATAATCATACAAAATGGATGTGGTCAGCCCACTGGGAAGAAAATCAAAGCAGAAACTATAAATGCATGTCTAGAGAGTTAAGAAACAACTGGCAGTTCATGACACATTGTGGACTTGACGTCAAAGCAGCAATACTGGGATAGGACGATAATTCAGTATACTTAAAACCCTTCAAGCATTTTCAACATTTCCAGAAGAAACAAATGTGATGACAATGGTCAAATCAAATCACAGAAAGTCCCAGAAATGGTTAACTCTGAGTCCTCAGATGGCGTCATGAGTAGCTGTATCTGACTAATGGAAGGAGAGAGAAGAAATTTGTGGAAAGCTTTTATGCCCTTCTAGCACACCACCAAATAACACACAGACAGAACCACTGAATTCTTCATCTAGTCTCTGGAAATCTGAGGTTGTATGGTTGAAGCTGCATTAAGAGTTTCCACAGCTTACTCTTACTGTAATCTGCTGCAACAGCAAGAATCCATACTCTTTCTAACTCTTTCACATCAAGAGGTAAAACTCAAAAGAGAAAACTGCTTTGGAGGTACTTCAATACAAGAGAAGGAACTCAAATAACTTATCTATGTATTGCATCCAATGGAGTCTCCCTCCTCCATGCTTGATTGATCTTGTTTTAACAACAGTTACAAAGTGCACATATAAATGCTACTGGGCCTCTGTCCATGAAACAGGCATTGCCTATGTGGAAAGACCTTACTTATGGTTTTGCCTATGTATCCAGGTAGGTGTAGATTACTGATCTTTTACACTCTTTACTGTTTGTTCAGAGTCTTTGAAAGTCAAACTCTAGAATTACTGATGTTAATATACCTTCATATTTTCACATAGAAACATTTCAACCAACTAAAAAATTCACCTCAATTCCAAAACTATCATAAATTGAATACAAAACCAACCAAGAGGTAGGGAAGAAGGTAAAAATAGACACATAGTATTCTCCTCTTTTCTCAGAAGACTGTAAAGAAATAGTTCATTCCCACTTGTTCTTTTACTTCAGAGAGGCTAGGTGCCAGCTCAGCTTCTCATGTTAAGTCCCAAGAAATGGAAACTATTTATACCATAGTGATAATTTTATTAAATTGGATTGAAACAATGAAGATATCCAGTGTGGTAACTGATATAGAAAGAAAAAGGAACCTTTTCTTTCTATACTGAGCATGCCAAGAACCCTTCAGCAACTGTGGCTCCCCATTTGGTACACAGTAACTTGAGATGCAAGTACTAATGGCCCCATACGCTTCCTATAAATTGTTCGAGGACATCATGTGATCTGGTTAGACTTCTTGAGGAACTAAATAGTAAAATAAAGAAGATAATGTGTTAAAGAAGTCTTAAGAATGGTGTCATCAGATTCAGAAGACACAGCAACAAAAGGAAAATCAGTTTTCCCAAGTGTCTTGTACTGTATGTAATAAGCACTGTGTTTCATGCCACTTCATCTTTATTACCCCTTGTTGTTAGTAATATCCCAAAATGAAGCCCAGGAACAACCATAGGGATAATGGTCAGAGTGACTGGGCAAGTCTGCTGTTCTCGCCAGACGACCTACAAGATTAATTTAGAATATTCCATAGCACTGCATCAGATTCATTAATCCTCGCTGGGATCTAGGAAACAGTCTTCCTTGTCATTTTGCATCTCACTAGCCCCATGGTTTAAAAAAAGACAACAAACGGGTTGACTACCCTCGTCTTTCTCCTCCTAATTTCCTCTGCTTGTCTTATTAGCACACCTTGCAACCTGCTTTCCTATTGCAATAAAATTCTGACTACATGCTTTGACTGTTCCAGATCTCATTTTACTTATACCATTTTTATTCATCTCAAATTCCTCTTCTTTATCTTCAGATGTTGGTGACTTGCTGCAGGCCCCTGATGATACAGCTGCTCTCCCTTTGAGCCTCCATAGCACTGATTTCATATTATGTCAGCATCCAGAACTTCATGACGTATATACATACCACTTCTGAGCTGGCCTGGATATCACACATACACATACAGAACCTCATGTAGGGGCTAGAACTCAAAAGTAAACATGGAACTGTGGGCTAATGCATCAGACTGCAAAGTCGTTTGAACTGCCAAGTTAGTGAATCAAGTTTACCAGCTGCTCCTTGGAAACCCTATACAGGGTCGCTCTGGGTTGAAATTGACTTGATGGCACTTAACAACAACAACACTAAACATCTATTAATGGGTGACAAAAGTTATTTCAGAGTTTACGGCTGGAATATGTCTATGGGAAATTTTGTATCTTTCCAAAACAGACAGATCTGGTAGGTAGAAGAGTGCACACTGAGTCAGACTTATACATGCAGTGATATCCAATGAATCTTTGGTTGGAAGTAGATTATTTTTAAAAACATCTGGGTAGAAAAGACAGCAAAAAATAAACAGAAGTAATAGCATTGTGGGGCAACAGGACAGACTTGAATATCCTACTCCCAGCATAGGTCATAACCTGGGACCAGAGAATAATTTTAAGAGATGAAAAGTCAAGAAAAGATGACTCAACCAAGTATAAACTGGAGAAGACAAAATCACATGCAGTGGAACAGCATGAGCAAAAACCAGTGAAAGATGGAAGGTAAGGGTGAGTAAAGAGATAATAAATAGGCTTATAGGGTCAGGAATAGATGCAGAAGGAGGCCTAAAACCTTGGGTTTGTGAATTAGGAAGCAGGACTGTTGGCTGGAGGAAGCATGGCACAGCTTGAGAACATGCCTGGAGAGGCTCTGGAATGGGAAAGAATAGTGAACGAAGACATAAAAACACCACCAATACTATTCACATAGCCTGTTGCTCGTATACTTACCATAGCGGATTCTAGAATCCTGAAATGAGATCAGAAGCTAAATGACATCCTCACCTTCACCTTATACCTATAAAGGAACTCACTGTAATCATACTTAAAAATTATGTTGCTAATTAGATCCAGGTACTACTGATCCTTCGTGGAATGCCCTCTTCCTTAGCTTTACCTGTCAAACGTCAAAGCCCTTCAGAATACTATCATAGTCTGCCTCCTTTGTAATAAATACCCTTCCGACTGTCTATCTTCTGTTCATTCTCTGAATCCCACAGTAATTAGTCACTTTCTGTGACATTTACTGTACAGTGTTTTCATAATTGTTTTCTTTTCCCTGCTGGTAAGCTCCCTAGGCAGAAACTGCTTTTACTCCTGCTTTGTACCAATTGCAGGGTGCTTTTTAACATAAAAAGTGCTCACATGTATCTGCTGAACTGAGCCAGAGAGTCCACCATTGGGATCAGATCCTGGGATGAGTCCATCAAAATGCAAATATCTTGGGATGTTCTCACAGAAATAACCTGCAGCTCTGTGTCTACCCCCCGCCCCCAATTTTAACTACAACAAACTCTCAGAAAAATATCCTTTATCATTGTACCATCAGTTTTCTCTAAAGGTGTTGTCACTATTTCCAGATCAAAAGAGCCTAAAACTTAGCACTTATGCCAAGTATGGAAGAAAAAGTGATAATGAAAGAATAAAAATAGAGTCAAATTAAAACAATCACATACCTTGATAAACTGTGAGTCACGATATTTTCCTCCAGTGGTGTATTCAATACCAAGTAGTGTTTCACTGTATCATAAGTGGTTAAATCTGGGAAGAGGAACAACAACAACAAAAAAGGTTGAACTAGCCACTCATTTAATAATGAATGTCTCTTGGGCCAAGAACCATGCTCAGTTTGGGGCAGGAATGTGTATAAAAATGAAAAAAACTTGTTTTCAAGCAGATAAGAAGCATGTTACAGATTGAGAGAGAGGAAAACAATGAGAAACTCACACTGTTACATCACTAGAAGACCCAAATCCAGTCATGTTTAAAAGCTGTACAATTGAGACTTCTGGTTTTGGTGGTGGCAGAGGAAGCTTCAGGGAGGACAGGCTCTGTGGAGGAGGGACTGAAAACCCAGAGAAGCTGCTTTCATGGAATAGAACCAGAGCTCTGGATCTAGCATAAGGTGTAGGGTGTTAACTTTCCCACACAGGCCAGTGGAAAAATCATGGTATACAGAAAAATATTGCAATTTAGAAATCACTTGAGACACGGGACTCCCTCTGCAGCCACCCCGCCCTGGCAGAGTTCAGAGCCAGACCCACACAGCGAACCAGCACTAAAAGCAGGGCAGTGGCATTTGAAAAAGGAGGTGCAGGGGGCGATTCTGCACATTTTTTCCTCCTCTTCCCTGTTGTGCCTTCTTTGCCCAGCCCAGACACCTTCAGGCAGGTGGGTGTGCACACCTCCTCCCCCCAAAAAAATCCAGTGTTAAGCCCACAGTTTTTCCTATGGCACAGAGCGAAAGAGCCTTATCGGTCCCGAGGGTACATTCTTTGGCAGCTGCTTTTGAGGTCAGCCTCTGGGTCACAGCCTTAAAATTAACTTGTGCGGGACTCTTTACTCTGACATATCCAGCAAGAAAAAAGTAGGCCTGTCAGACCTGACAGACAAACCATATGAACAATCAGTAAAACCCCAACACAAAAGGACTCAATTATCTCGAGAATTACGCTGTGCACATGCAGATACCTAACTGACTTTCAGAGAGAAAAATAGTAGACAACCTTTCTCCTATTAACTTCTCAATATCTATCTACACACCTCTATGGTGGAGATCAGAGGAGAAGACTGAGCAAGCAGACACCCCCATCCCTGCTGGAGGCTTTGACGGTGAACACACACTGCCTGGGTAGCAAGGTGATTGGGCAATCGGCTGGAGTTTTATTTTTGCTTCAAAGTGGTGGGTTTTGTCTCTGCTTTTATATTGCTTCTGATTTTATTCCTTTTGATCACTCATTTTTCCTGGAGGTGGGAGCTTTTTCTCCCTATGTTACCCAGGAAGAGACAACAATCATGGCCATATAGCCAAGCTACAAGTTTACTCCATAATATTCCACCATTGAGACAAGAAACAATAACAGCTGCTAAGCATTAAACATGAAAAGGGATGCCTATCTCCTGATTGTATCCACCAGGAGACACCCAGTAAGCTTAATAACACAGCAAAAGACATCCATTTAAGCATTAAAAACCCACATAACTACTGGAAATGACCCAAAAAACCACAATAAGAGATCTCGAAACATGTCCAAATACAGAAAAGAGTAACTGAGACACATGAGGTGGAGACGGACAAAGACTCTCCAGAAGAGGAAGAGCAGGTTTTGGATTTGCCTGAGAAGGAATTCAGAAGAATGATAAGGAAACAAATTCAAACATTCAGAAAAGGGGTGGAGGAAAACAAGGAGGAAGTCAGGAAAGAGCAATCAAACACTGAATAGGAAAAGGAGCAGAACAGAAGAGATGGAAGCCAGAACCAGTGAGCTGGAAGACAAATCTCTCAATACTGCTAAGATAGAACAGCAAGCAGAAAAAAGGTTAAAAATTCTGAAGAAAGTCTAAGATTCATGCTGGATAATATGAAGAGGAACAAGTTAAGAATTATTGCCATTCCAGAACAGGAAGAATCAGAGAAGTCCACAGAGGACATAGTTGAAGAGCTACTAGAAGAAAATTACCCTAACATCTTGAAAGATGAGAAGATAAACATTCAAGAAGCTGAACATACCCCAGGAAGGATAGACCCCAAAAGAAAATCACCAAGACATATAATAATCAAGCTCTCCAAAATCAAAGACAAGGAGAGAATCCTAAAAGTGGCCAGGGAAAAGAGAACTGTTACTTACAAAGGCAAGCAAATCAGATTAAGCTCTGACTTCTCAACAGAAACCATGCAGGCAAGAAGGCAATGGGAATACATACACAAAACCCTAAAAGAAAAAACTACCAACAAAGAATCACCTATCCAGCAAAATTATCAATCAAATACGATGGTGCAATCAAAACATTCCAGGATAAACAGAAGCTAAGAAACTTTGTCAAAGCCAATCCAGCACTTCATAACATCCTAAAGGGAGTTTTTAGATTGAAAACCAACTAGAACAGACAACAACCAGAGATTGACAGGAGTGGCAACACCACCTGAAACTCAGATGATGGATAGCAGTGTCCAGAACAGAACAAAACTGCAATAACAAATTCAAGGGAGCTGGGGGTGGGGTGGGGTGGGGGGCCGGGCAACAGAAGATCAAAATAATATCAATGTCAAAAAAGGGGAAAATGTAGGAACAGAGATCCAGGTGGTGATGAGGTCAGGTAGATTACAGGATACAATAGATTCTCTTAAATGGAGAGAAAAACTTAATAGACTATAAGGTAATCACAAAGAAAATTGATACTTCACAATTTACCATGAAAATGAACTTCCAAGCAGAACAAGCAAACATGAAAACTAAGAAAAAACCAACAAGAAATAGTACAAAAAACACAAACTCAGCACAAAAAGGCATACACAACAAAGGAATGAACAGCACTATCAAAAATTTAACATAATGGCAGTAATTAATTCATACCTATTGATAATTGAATGCACCAAGTGAAGAGACAGAGAGTGGCAGAACTATCTAACAACTGCTTTCTATGCACCAGGCACTATTCTAGGCACTGGGGGTGGGGGGAGGGGGTAGATAAACAATATTCCCTATTCTCTGTAGGGGGTGAAACAAGCATACCAGTATGCAGTATTGCAGTATTTTGGATAGTCTTCAGTACTCTGAAAACAAAGTAAAGAAGCAGAGAGTGCCAGAGGATGAGGAAGAATGGTGCACATGAATTTTCAATGGCATGAGCAGGGAAGGCCACTCTGAGATTTGAGCAGGGACTGAAGGAAGTATGAGAAAACAAACCTTGCAGATAACTGAGAGATAAGTATTTCAGGCAAAACAATGCAATGCACTGTGGCCAAGAGATCTATTAACTTGGTATGACAGAGAACCAGCAAGAATACAGGCATAGCAGGGGCTGGGGCAGCAATGTCAGAGAAGTAATGGACTCCCAATGGTGGAGAGCATCAGGCCAGAGGAACTGATCACCAGCATTATTTTATTAAGAAACAAAAATCAAGAATTTTCAGCTTCCCTGATATATGTCCTTGTAATTATAACTACTAAGCCAAGCAGGTCTTATCAGAATTCAAAAAAGTTTTCATTACCTCCCATATTCACCAATGCTGCTCTTTGTATATTGGGCACCCAGCCTGCCCAAAGGCCACGTATTCCTCCTTCTGCTAAGATTTTTGCAAATGCATGATGTACGCCACGAAATCTAAGGAAAACAATAATTAAAATGTGAAAACTTCATGTATGCCTGTCTATGGAATGTAATTGGATAAACTCTGCCTATGGCTGGTCTTATTTTTGCAGTGAAATAACATCTCATTTAGCCAGAATTGCTCCAGAATTGTTAGGAATTAAAGCAATTCACAATCCATGATCATTTTCCAGATTTTCTTCAACGTTTTATTTTAGCATTTCTAAAGTAAGCCTTTTTAAGCAGTATCATGTTCTTATCTTCTCATATTATTAAACAAAGTAAAAACCATTAATTAATATTTCATATCATAAGTACCCACATTCATTATAAGGGAAATGTGGTTCTCAGAGCTCTGAATTAGTTTTATTAGTAACTTGAAGTCTTGCAAACTTTGATTTTTACCAAATAAGGAACATTGGCTATCACATCGTCTCATTTTAAAAACTGTATTTTTAGGTAAAAAAATAAATGTTCTTACAATTGAACAATTTTAGCTTTATGAAATTTTATTACCTTATCCTCATTTTTCTGTAGCTAGAGGAAAAACAGTGTAAACCATGAACTAAAACTGGAAATCTCTGGTATAATAAAAGATATCTAGAACCAAATGCCTCTTCACCAATTACTAAGAAGCCCCAGTAGCATAGTGGGTTAAGCATTAGGCTTAATGATGCAAGATCAGTGGTTCAAGGCCAGCAGCCACTCTGTAAGAGAAAGATGAGGCTGTCTGTTCCCATAAAGACTTCGTCTCAGAATCCCTGTGGAGCAATTCTACTCTGTCCTATAGAGTTGCTATGAGTCTGAACCAACTCAATGGCAGTAGGCTTACCAATGAACAGTTTTATTCAGACATTACCAAAAAGATAATCTTCCGTATTTATTATTGTGAGGTGCCATCAAATTGGTTCCAACTCATAGTGACCTTATGCACAACAGAACGAACCACTGCCCTGTCTTGCACAATCCTCATTATTGTTCTTAATCTTGAGCCCATTGCTGCTGCTTCTGTGCCAATCCATCTCATTAGGGTCTTTCTCTTTTTTGCTGACCCTCCACTTTACCAAGAATGATGTGTTTCTCCAGGGACTGGTCCCTCCTGATAACATATCCAAAGTATGAGAGAAAAAGTCTGGACATCCTGGCTTCTAAGGAGCATTCTGATTCTACTTCTTCTAATACAGATTTGTTTGTTCTTCTGGTAGTCCATGACACTTTTGATATTTTTCTCCAACACCATAACTCAAATGCATCAGTTCTTCTAAGGTCTTCCTTATTCACTGTCCAACTTTCACATGCATATAAAGCTATTGAAAATATCATGACTTAGGTCAGGCACACCGTAGTCCTCAAAGTGACATCTTTGCTCTTGAACACATCAAAGAAGTCTTGTGCAGCAGATTTACATAGTGCAATGTGTCATTTGATTTCTTCACTGTTGTTTCCATGAATGTTGATAGTGGATCCAAGCAAAATGAAATCTTTGACAACGTCAACCTTTTCTCCATTTATCATGATGTTATTATTGGTCCAGTGGTTAGGGTTTTTGTTTTCTTTACATTGAGATGTAACCCATAGTGAAGGCTGTGGGCTTTGATCTTCATCAGTGAATAAGTACTTTAAGTCCTCTTGGCTTTCAGCAAGCAAGATTGTATCATCTGCACATTTCAGGTTGTTAATGAGTCTTCCTCCAATCCTAATGCCACATTCTTCTTCATATAATTCAGCTTCTCGGATTATTTGCTCAGTATACAGATTGAATAAATATAGTGAAAGAATATAACTCTGGCACAAATCTTTCCTGACTTTAAACCATTTAGTGTCCCCTTGTTCTGTTTGAATAACTGCCTCTTGGTCTGTGTACAGATTCCTCATGAGCACAACTGAGTGTTTGGAATCCTCATCTTCTACAGTGTTGTCCATAGCTTGTCATGATCCACACAGTTGAAAGCCTCTGCATAGTCAGTAAAGCACAGGTAATCATCTGTCCGGTATTTTCTGCTTTCAGTCAAGAACCATCTGACATCAGCAGTGGTGCCATTCATTCCATGTCCTCATCTAAGTCTGGCTTGAACCTTTGAAAGTTCCCTGTCAATGTACTATTGCAGCTGATTTTGAGCTATCTTTAGCAAAATTTTACTTACCTGTGCTATTAATGATATTGCCTGATGACCTCCACATTGTGTTGGGTCACCTTTCTTTAGAATGGGCACAAATATGGGTCTTTTCCAATCAGTTGGCCAGGTAGCTGTGTTCCCAATTTCTCTGCATAGATAAGTGAGCGCCTCTAGTGCTGCATCAGTTTGTTGAAAGGTTTCAGTGTATTGTTAATGCCTTCAATACACCTTGGACTTCTTCCTTCATTGGATACTATCTCTTGAAATGGTTGAACAGCTTATATTTCTTTTTGGTACAGTGACTCTGTGTATTCCTTCCATTGTCTGTGGATGCTTTCTGCATCATTTAATATTTTTCCCATAGAATGCTTCATTAGTTGAGGCTTAAATTCTTTCTTCAGCTCTTTCAGCTTGAGACGTGCTGGGTGTGTTCCCCTTTTGAATTTTCTAACTCCAAGTCTTTGCACATTTCATTATACTACTTGACTTTGTCTTCTTTGACTGTCTTTTAAGTTTTTCTCTTCAGCTCTTTTACTTCCTCATTTCTTCAATTTATTTTAGCATCTGTATGCTGGACAGCAAATTTCAGAGTCTTTTCTGACATCCATTTTGGTCTTTTCCTACTTTCTTGTCTTCTTAATGGCCTTTTTCTTTCTTCCTGTATGATGTTCCTGATGTCATCCCACAAGTTTTCTAGTCTTTGGTCATTAGTGTTCAGTGCATCAAATCTTTTCTTGAGATGATCACTAAATTCAGGTGGGATATTTTTAGGGTTATATTTGGCTCTCATGGACTTCATTTAATTTTCTTCAACTTCAGCCTGAACTTGCATATGAGAAATTGATGGCATGTCCGACAGTCTGCCCCTGGCCTTCTTATGGCTGATGATATGAAGCTTTGCTACCGTCTCTTCCCACAGACGTAGTTAGTTTGAGTTCTGTGTTTTCCACCTGGTGAGGTCCAGGTGTATAGTCATCTTTTATGTTGTTTAAAGAAGATTTTTGTAATGTGTAAGTTATTGGTCTTGCAAAAGTCTATCTTGTGATCTCCAGCACTGTTTCTATCACTAAGACTAGATTTTCCAACTACTGATCCTTCCTCTTTGTTTCCAACCTTTGCATTCTAATCACCAGTAATTATCAATACATCTTGATTGCATGCTTGATCCATTTCAGACTGAAGAAGTTGGTAGAATTTTTCAATTTCATAATCACTGGCTCTAGTGGTTGCTGTGCCAACATGAATACCAGTGGTATTAACTGGTCTTCAGTGTAGACATCTGAATATTATCCTTTCACAGACAGAATTATAATCTAAGGTGGATCTTGAAATGTTCTTTTTGATGATGAATGTGATGCCTTCAATTTGTTATTACTGGCACTGTAGACCACGGGAGTCTTGGGGTGGCACTGTGGGATAATGCGCTGAACTGCAAGGTCAGTGTGAACCACAACATCAGTGGTTCAAGCTCACCAGCCACTCCTCAGAAAGCCTATACAGGGTCGCTGTGAGTTGGAACTGACTCCATGGCACTTCAAAGCAACAGTAAACCATGTGATTGTCAGATTCAAAATAGCAAATACCTGTCCATTTTGACTTACTAAAGCCTAGGATAGGGATCTTTATGGATTCCATTTCATTTTTGAAAACTTCTAATTTTCCTAGATTCACACTGCATACATTCCATGATCTGATTATTAAAGGATGTTTACAGCTGTTTCAGCAAATGAAGGTCCCCAAAGCTTTACTTCACTCACATCATGACAGTCAACTCCACTTTGAGGTGGCAGTTCTTCCCCAGTCTTATTTTGAGTGTCTTCCAACCTGAGGGGCTCATCTTCTAGCATTATAATTGACAATATTCTGCTGTCCTTCATCATGTTTCAAAATTCATTATTCTGGTGTTCTCTGACAGTGTTTTGTTGCTATTCATAATATGGCTAAACATTCAAAGATAGTCTGCCTCTCCTTCTTCCTAGTCTGTCTTAGTCTAGAAGCTCAGCTGAAACCTATCTACCATGGGCATACAGTGCTGGAATTTAAAATACCTGTGGCATAGCTTCCAGCACACAACACCACCCAAGCCACCACAGTATGACAATCTGACAGACAAGAGGTGGTCCGTAATTATTGGGTAGGCATAATTGTTGCTTAGGAAGCTATGCTCAGGATGATGGTAATGACAGCTAACATGTACTGAGCACTTACTAAGTGTCAGGCATTTATGTACATATCCAAAACCAATCAACCAAATGTACTGTTACTGACTCGATTCTGGCTCATAGTGAGTCTATATTGGGCTTCTGAGACTAAATCTTTACAGAAACAGACAGCTTCATCTTTCTCTCATGGAGTGTCTATGGTTAGCAGCCCAATTCCTAACCCATAGAGCTAGTTGTTGTTGTTGTTAAAAGCTGTGTGGTTGGTTCCAACTCACAACAACCCTGTTTATGGTTTCCAAATCTTAGAATCTTTGCAGGAGCATAAAGCCTCATCGTTCTCCCATGGAATGACTGGTGTGTTCAAAGTATGGACCTGGTGGTTTGAAGTCTAGTGCTTATGATATGGAATTGGTGGTGGTGGTGTGCCTTGGAGTCAGTTCTGACTCACAGGGACCCTGCATAGGGTTTCCAAAGTTGTAAATCTTTGCAGAAGCAGAAAGCCTCATCTTTTTCCCTTGGAATGGCTGGTAGTTTTGAACTGCTGACCTTGAGGTAAGCAGCCTGACTCATACTACACTACCAGAACTCCTTGTGGAAATAGTAGGGCTCCTTTTATATACCTGTTGTTGTTGTTGTTGTTAAGTGCCATCGAGTCAGTTCCAACCCGTAGTGACCCTGTATAAGGTTTCCAAGGAGTGCTTGGTGAGCGTGAATCACAACCTTGCAGTTCAAATGGCTTTGCAGTCTGACACATTAACCCACAGGGCCACACCTAGATGCCTTTTAATTCTGAAAACCCTAGGAGGTATCATTATTAGTCTAATTTATATCTGAGGAAACAGAAGCTTAGTGAGATTAAGGAACTTTAACCAGGTTACAGAGCTGAAATATGATAACGTTTGGATTTGAAACCTAATCTGTATGATCCCAGGGTTCATGCTCTGCTACTACATGACATATAATCAAACTAAAACATTTTGGTATTGGGACAAGAAGGGGGAACAAAAGCTTGTGGAAGCTGGAGGACCAGCCATTTCTAGAGCCCAGTGTCCTAATGGCCAGCTCTCCCCCTTGTGACCTGTGCAGGCCTCACTTCTCCCTGCTGCTTAACGATTACAAGCTGATACAAGATACCACTTGGTTAAGGCTGAGTGTGGTACTTTCTCCTCCCTTGCTGAGTGTTCTCTTCCTTCTTTGTTGGCTGAAGGTAAACATGGACCTCAGCAGCCCAACCTCACTTTCCACGGAGTCAGTTGGAAAAGGAGCGGTGCAGTAGCAAACTCCCAAAGACACCACACCTTCCTTACCTGTGGCCCAGCTGTGGACCTGGTGTGCTCAGAGGAGCAGAACCCCTTTGTAATCAGTTCAAGTCACCCCACACTTCCTCTCTTTCCCAAGAGATCCCTCCCAAGAAAAAGGGGGGGGGGGGCAGGGGCGGAGAGAGTTTGACTTTTTCCTGGGAAAACCTAATGGTTGAATATGAAGTGCTTTGAAGAAAGGCGCATTTTAAAAATATAGAGTATTTCAATTGAAGGATTCTATATTGGCAGAGGCCATGACACCAAGAGGCAGAGCGGCGGAGGGCCCTAAACAAGCAGGGCCACAATGGGTGCCCCCTTTGTAACACAAGGCCCCAGGAGGGATCTCATGTGGGGACTCTGCTGTCTCTGTCTCTTTGTTTTAATCAGCTTATTTTTAATTTTCTTGATTTTATAATAAAAGTTTTCAGTAGAATCTTACTAAGAACTATATTAGAGATTTGAAACTTGCACATTCACACCATATTCAATCATGTGTAGTCCTAAGGAATGCTTCTCACACTAACAATAAGTTTCACCACTAGGAAAAACCAGCTAAAGTTTTTGCCAGTTCAAGTTTAAGATTACATTCAACATTCCGTGTAGTTTCGGTCAGGGGCATTAAGACCTTTAGAAAATTAGTAAAAATGCAGTTGAGGGCTAAGGGAATAGTATTAGATCATAAGCAGAAATTTAACTAGCTGTTTTGTATAGAGAAGTTTTTGGTATAAGGAAGTTGTTCTGTTTCTTCTTGGCTACAAAACTTTTTTATGCTTTTTGTTTAATCAATCATGAGAAACAACTGTGTTGTCAGTTACCATAGCATATAATGTCTAGGTACATGTTGTGATTAATGAATCTATAGAAAATAATAGGTGAAGGCAGAAATAGGAGTTAAGATTTAGAATTATGTTTTAAGGTTAAAGTGACATTTTTAAAGCAATGAGGTTTGTTTACAGAAATCATATATTGTCTAACTATGTAAAGGGAAACAAGGAAAATTTTTATATTCTTGATGCTTTATATTGAAATGATTAATATGTATGATTTAAACCACTACTTTGAAAAGAATGATTAATAAATTGATGGTATAGAGTAGTATAAAAGCTGTTTGAGAATTTGAAATAAACAGAGAAGATTCACCATCTAACAAGACCCATCGAGTCTGTGAGCTTCATTCTTCGCTGACGTCATACCTCCCTCTAGGACCCCCAAATAAGAGTGTCGGAGCAGGCTTCCGACACAATATCACAAAATGCATAATGAAAACACTTTCATAACCCTCAGAAAAAAGAGGGCCTCAGATGTAGGAGTGAAGCTGTAGAGGGAGGTGGGAACAATTTGCATGATCAACATTGATATATCTTTCTTTCAGGAGAAAGGGAAGGGAATCAAGGTTGTTGGCACTTTACAAACCAGACATGAAAACTTTAATGAAAACCTTTTGAGATAGCCACTTGTAAAAAGTCAAAAACAGAGACCTAGACAAGTTAAGTGACCGCCACATGGCTAAGTCACAATGGCAAAACTGGGGGTTCATACTCAGGACATATTTAATGATCAAATTCTTTAAGGCAAGTTTCAATAGGAACAGAGTCTAGTTATGATTTAAAAGAACTCTTACTGTGTTGTTAAGGGCCACAGAATTGGTTTAGACCCTATGTAGGGTCTCTGAGGAGTAGCTGGTGGGTTTGAACCACTGACTTACGGGTTAGCAATTGAGTGTTTATTCTACAGTGCCACACCAGGACTCCAAAAAAGAGGTAGGCACATGTATAATCTGGTTGGTAGCAAGCATGTGAATACCTTATCAAGCATAGAAAAGATCCACTTCTGCATGCCTCTTGTTAAATATAAATTCCAAATGAAAAGAATCAGAAGTATTTTCTTATCGAATTCTGGATCAACAACTGTATGATCTGTTGGTACAACACAATGGTAGCAAAAGGGAAAGGCAAGGCAACAAGTAATTTGGGGAACTTACCGCAGCGGTTTGCCTTCAAGTTTTCTCTTTCCTTCCATTTGCATCTGAACCTTCACTAGGTCAGTTGGGTTAGCTAAAAATTGGCCGAAAACACCAGCCATCATCCCACCAATGACTGATTTCCTAATTGTAAAAGTAAACATTAAAAAAAAAAAAAACAATAGTAAAGGTCACCATTAATTTAATAAATTTAGTAGTGAACCAATACCGATCTGAGTAAGAGATACACCAAAACAGCCTCTGGATAAGAGATTTCAAACAAAATAAAGAAACTGATAGATTCAAACAAATAACAGAAGAAAGTAGATGGTTCTAACAAGCCCATTAAAGTGCACAAGGAGTTGAAATAGACAACTAATGATTCAACTAGAATTTAATTCTGACCACAGGAGAGTAAAAATAGCATACACCAAATTAGTCTAATAGTCCAAGGCTGGTAAGTGAAGTTTTAAATACTATGACTTTTATAGTTTTTCAAAGTGAAGAATTTGGATACTTTCCTCTCTTTGAAGAAACTCTTTCTGTTCCTAGACTTCTCCTTCTCCTCCTCTCCCAGAGCTAATAGTCACCAAGCCTAGACTATTCTACTTAAGCATGTTTTAAATCCATCTTCTATTCTCTGTTTCTGCTGTCCCTGCCTCAGGCCAGACTCTAATCATCTTTTACTTAGACTATTGCAATATTCTCTTCAGTCGTGGATATTATGTTTCCTTTTACTGTAAAACAAAATGTGAAGGGAGACACACATGTACAACATAAGCAGTACGTTTCTCTCTCATCTCTAGCTCCATTTCCCCTCCCTGAAGCAGTCGCAATGACTAGCTGCTTACACACCCTTCCAGAGACATGGATACATTCACTGAATGTTGATGTGTCAGGACTTGCTGTGAGCATTTAAAAAATCATTTAACTTGCATGCCAACCCTCGAATGTAAGTACAACTGTCATACCCTCTGTATAGATGAAGAAACTGAGGCTTAGAGGAGTAAAATTACAGCCCAAATCACACAACTAATGAGTGGTACAGCCAATTTACAGAAATCCAGGCAGTTTGATTCCAGAAACCACACTTTTCACCACTATCTTACATTCCAAACTTTGTGCATATGTACACATATGCGTATAAATATACCTTTCTAAAAAGTATATAGAACTGTTCTGAACTTTAATTTTTCCCCCTAAAAGAATTATCTGAAAAGATTATCCCTGTTACTGCATAAAGACAAGCACACGACCATAAGGTTGGTTTAAACCATAAGGTCAGTGGTTCAAATTCACCAGGCGCTCCTCAGAAAGCCGATACAGGCTTACTATGAGTCAGAACTGACTCGACGGCTCCTAACAACAATCTTTACAGAAGCAGAGTGCCTTATCTTTCTCCCATGGACTGGCAGGTGGGTTTGAACCATTAAACATTGGGTTATCTATCAGTCAAGCACTGTAATCACTGGCACCACCAGTGAGTGCTACATAGTTTATTTAACTAGTATAACTTTAAACTTTAAATTTGAACATCTGCATAACATTTCATAGATCCTGGCAAAGTGCTTTCCATAGAACTTGTATCAATTTACACTTCCGCTGACAACTTAGGCAAGTGTCTATTCTTCCACACAAGGATTTGCACTGTACATTCTGTTTTTTTCTCTTTGTGACTCTCATCATCACTCCCTCCTCTACCATGTTCCCACTATTCTAATTGCTGTCTGTCTCTGATATATTTTTTTAACACTTTTCAATGGCTATGAGATTTTGGCAAAAGATTACCAGGCTTTTCTTCTGAGCTCCCTCTAGATAATTTCAAGCCTCTAAATTTTCAGTTAGCAGCCAAGAATAGTAACTATGCACACCACCCAGGAACTCCTTTATGAACATGAACAAAAATCCTTTTGTGAATTGCCTGTTGATACCCCGTCCCTATTTTTCAACTGTGTTCTCTGTATTTTAGTTATCAATTTCTAAGCTAAAGTAACCTGTTTTTTTCTGTTTCTGTTATAAACTTGATATGTGATATGTACTTACATTCATCATCTCATTCACTCCTACAAAAACAAATGCTTGATGGTAACTATTTCTTCTACAGCTGAGAAAACTGAAGACCTAAAAGCTGAAGACCTAATAAAGAGTGTCTTGTTTTGTATTTTAATGTTTTATTGTGAATTATGTGATAGTTTACATGGGAGAACATTAGTTTTACATTCATCCAATCACATATCATTTCATTGCTATGGTTACAATGCCTTCCATGCATCATCAACCATCCAAAGGGTATACACTACAAGCCTGTCCCCCAGTCATCAGCACACAGCCCCTCTCCCTCTCTGTGTCTAAAGTTCCCAACTGCTCCATCTCTCCATGTTATCATCTCTGCCTCCATCTCAGGCATCACTGCTTCTCTGGGTAGGGTCCCGCTCTCCACTCTTCTCCCTTGATGGTCCCAGGGACCTCCGCTCCTAGACTGAAAAGTTAATCACTCCCCTCCTTGCTACAAAACGTTTACCTTTACATTTCCAACCCTCATAAGCAGTCCTGATAACAATTATTCACTATTGTATCACAAGAGACCCATCCGCATTTCATTTCATCAGCCCCGCCTAGACAGATTGGATACTACTCAGTGGAGATTCTACCTTCCTTCATGCCCTCTGCATCTAGGTTCACTCTTGAAAGCTTGTAAGCCAGTCACTTCTTGCCTTTGTAACCCCCTATCACCACCACCACCACTTTGGGTAGCCAATATCCAAGTTGCCCATCCCTGTCTACTCTGTGTATGGAGGTGGGGGGAATGATCCTTGCTGTAAGGATTTGTTCCCTCTTTTGAGCTACTTTATCCATAGGTGTAGGTCAAGTTCATCAAATTGTATCAGATGACTCTTTTTTCCCTCTTCTTCCTTCTCTGGTTGAGGTCTGATCATCCAGTCATTGAAGCTAGGTCAAGTGGGTATTATCTGTAAGTGTGGGTGTTCTTGTGCATATACCCTCTCTTCTTATCAGCTGGATGCTTCACTCTCTACTCTAGTCCTCTGTGGCTATGTCACTGACTCTGGGCCCAAGAGTCCTCAGGTCTTGCCATACACTGATGGCCAACCAGGTCTCCACCCAGGTTCACAGAAATCTATTAGATATTGTAGGGCTTAGCTTGCAGCTTCATTGCTGTTTTCCCCTCACTTCCCCTTATCGGTGATGAACGTGGTCACCAATCAGAGCATGTATTCCCATTGAGTCTTAGTCTTGGAAGGGTAGAGAAGGAGTTTGAGCCCACTTCTGTCTGACTCTAAAGCCCAAAGTTTTGCAACAGAAAGACAAACATGGAATGTGGTCTGTAAGACTTCTATTAATACCAAAATATAAATAAATGATATATACATGCAATTTATATATAAACACACACATATATATATATATATATGTATATTTTGTTGTTGTTGTTAAGTGCCGTCGAGTTGGTGCCGACCCATAGCAACCCTGTACAGGGTTTCCGAGGCTATAAATCTTTACAGGAGCAGAACGTCTCATCTTTCTCCCGCGGAGTGGCTGGAAGTTTCGAATTGCTGGCCTTAAGGTGTGCAGCCTGATTCGTAACCACTATGCTACCAGAGCTCTCTCTCTCTCTCTCTATTTATATATATATAATAAATGCCCGTTTAATTGGATTTATATTACAACTTACATTTAAGTCTATAATTTATGGCAGTTTTGGTACAAATGCACAATTTTATGTAAATCTAATGGATAGACATTAAAGTCTTTGAAGCAATAGCATATTATCTTCAAAACAAAACTTACCAAAGGGGATAATGCTTATCTTCACTTTTGCCAAGCACAACCTCACGGAGATGTTCATATGTGACCATTCGACCTCCCGAATACACTGTGTAAAAACATCAATAAAACGGTGACTTCAGCAATAGGCTTAATAAAGTAGTAAGGACTTAGTCATCTGGACCAGTCTGTCTCCTTAGCTTTCTCTTTCTCTCGTGTCCCATATGTTCCTTCCACACAGACTTTGTGACAGTTACTGAAAGGCACCATGCATTTTTTAGCCTCAGCCCTTCCTCCTCACTGTCATATCTTTCTATAATGGATTCTCCCTCCTCTGCTTGGTTATACCTCCTACCCAGTCAGCACTCAACTGAAACAACATGTTTTCCTACAAGCGCTCTTTACCATTCCCTTGGTGTTCTAGGTTGTCTGTCTGTCTGTTTGCAGCTCTCTTGCTTCTTCTATATTTCCCCAGAGCTATCCAGACATACTCCTACTAAGGTATTTATCATTTGTTTTCAGATTAACTCGATGCTCTTTCCATCAGACTTTGAGCTCTCTGAGGTCAGGTTTCCTATCTCTTGTTTATGCTAACCTCCCAATATAATGCTTGGTACATGGTAGGTATTTAGTTGAAATAAGGATAACTTCATTAAAGAAGTTACTGATATAAATTTTTAAGTTCCAAGCATATGAAATAAATTTTAACAATACATAATAGTCAACAAATCAAAAAACGTGAAACTCAAAACAGTAAAGAGAAGCAAAGGATAAAATGTAAAAAACATGAATGGGTAAATTAAAATAACAAACAAAAACATTTAAACCAGCACATGGTATTCATACAGGCAGCATTCTTTGAAAGGTTACAAAGTCTGGGGAAGTATTTTAAAACATTAAAAAATATACAAAGTGCCAAAAAGATTAACAGTCTTTATGCATACTTCTGGATAGTTCTTGAAAAATGTACTCTAACTTACTCATCTGAATAACTGACGCTTTAAAAATATTAAGCTGGTGGATATTAGAACTGGGTACTTTTCTGATCATGGGTTCCTTTATATTTAAGGAAACATTATGAGTTTAGAGAAGAAAAATGCCATGCTTGATGTGGCGCTGTGGCTTAATGCACCAGACTGCAAAGCCATTTGAACTGCAAGGTCGGCAGTTCAAGTTCACCAGCTGCTCCTTGGAAACCTGGGTTCACTATGGGTTGGAACTGACTCGACAGCACTTCACAACAACAACAACAACAACAACATTCTACCTTGGATTCCTGGTGTGGTGCTGTAGGATCAGCACTGGACTGTGAACTACAAGGTTGGTGGTCCAAACCCACCAGCTGCTCCCTGAAAATCCTTTACATGGTCGCTGAGTTGGAAATGACTCGACAGCACTTAATAACAACAACATCAACAGTTCTACCTTACTCTGAAGTAAAGTTTACATTCTTCTGTCCATAACCTATCTTTGTAAATACCACTTTGGAAGCAGAGTATAAAAGTGTTCTCATTGGCTACAGCATGTTTAATGGCCACATAGCAAATTAAGTAGCCTGGGTAACAGGCACGAATCACCTGAGCTGTATTTACTCCATTGCCAGAGCTGGATTGGACATGCTCTCCTTCATAATGCACCCACTCCTGCCTTACTGATTCCAAAGATCTGGTCATGATGTGAAAATCAGCAGCATATAAAAATGTAGAATGGCCAATCAAATCACACTGCATAACTTTCAAGTTACATAATTACATAACTGCCAAATTATATACTTACATAGTTGCTAAATCACACCTTTACATAACTGACAAGTCACTGAGAATCAGAGTCCAGCCAAGTGGACACATAACTGTAAGTTTAACCATCATTGTCACTGTTCCTCTTGCCTAACACCTTCCTGCCAGTTGTGTATGATTAATGTGCAAAACAGTCTATGACTTAAGAGACAGAGTTTCATGCTAATAATAAATATTATGATACATTTGCTTTATTCTATATATTTTATCATACATACAATACATACATACATACATGTATACAATAAAATATACAAATATAATTGGCATATATTTAGTATAAAATATATAATTTGTATGTATATACAAATATATATTTGACATATATATGTGTGTGTGTGTATTTAGAGTCCTGGTGTGGTGCTGTAGGATAAGCACTTGATCAATTGCAAAGTTGGTTTAAAGCTCAAGGTTGTTGTTGTTGTTGTCAGGTGTCATTGAGTTGGAACCGACTCATAGCGAC